ATTGGAAGCTTGTGCCATCATCCACCAGATGGGTTAGTTTTTTTGTTTTGATTTGAACAAAGTTGATTTTGTGTACAATGATTCTTTGACAGTGTGCAAAGAGTGTATCATTTTGTCATTTTTTATGCATTTCAGTTTTGAGTAGAGTGAAAGAAATAGAACCAAAACATTCTAATACATTTGGTGAAAATGCTAGTACAATTCAGTAGTAGTGTTGCCATGTGGTACAATCTAGTAGTAGTGGTGTTGGCATGTGGTACACTGAAAAATTGAAATAGCAGGTTAGACACCAAAGTTTTCGAGCCTGTTACTTTCGTTTTCGTCACATACATCTCCCAGGACCTACGAGGAAATCTGTGGTGCCAATTCACATGCAACGATCGGTTCGTGATTGGAAATGTAGTCGGATTTCAATACTGCCGAGGTGTTGGCAGGGAAAAAGCCTATACGCCTCTGTCAAAGCACCGGAGAATGCGACAATGAAAGGAATGTTTGTTTGTGCTAACTGGTTCAACCTAAGAAATAACGAATTTAATTTGGTGGATGTGAACGAAAACAGAATTACAATAGAAAATTATGTTAAGCACGTCCTCTTTGTATTTAACACCAAAATGTATGGAAGCTTACCGCCCCGAAAATATAGTTTTTTCGAAACGGTTTTTTTTTAATAATGGGAAAAATTATCAAAAATTCAAGAAAATCAGTTTTTTATTAGATTATTAACAAAATTTACATGTAAAAATATTATTTATTTCTCCACGGATACGAATTTTGTTCATTCATATCAAAAATAAATCTGTTTATACTCTAAACATATGAATTCAAAGTAAATTGAAAACATGTTGAAAACTAAAATATGTATTTTGAATTAAATTCAAAAGCATGTTTTTTCAGCAATATAGAAATCAATCGTATTTGAAAGCATCTGTCACCTCACCGATGTGTCTGTGTTTGACTGGCGATGATCGGTTTCTGTACCTGGCACCTGTTCAAGCCTGGTGCGCAGCTGAAAAGTAATGACGTTTTTATGTGCTACCGAATAGGACACGGAATGCAAAAGAAATTACTTTTCCTCAGCATTTCTTGAAGCCTGGTACGCAGCTGAAAAGTAATGACGTTTTTACGTGCTACGGGATAGGACACGGGATAGGACACGGAATAGATCAGTGCACGGTCCCTAACCTCACTTTTTGCTCCCTATCATTTTGCTTCTGAGTAAAAGAGATAGCAACGAATGGGAGCCAAAACAAACCACCCAAAACTGTCAAAACTTACGGGGGAGAGAAGAGTGCGGCAAATCTTCGTGAACTGATCAATGCTAAAGAAATTTCTTTTAATTAGCATTTCTTGACCCAGTACGCAGTTCAAAAGAAATCGGTAAAGGAAAGATCGATTACATTAGTATCGTGATCGATATGAAAGTGGCGCATTCTGAATGCAATTTCATTTTCCTTGCGGAATAATGGTCTGACCAATTATTCCGTTAGGTAATTTTAACGTTTGTTGTAAAAATGATGTTTTGGATGCATTTTAACAACATAAAAATTGATAATTGTTGATTTTAAAATTAGACGACACCTACCTATGATCTCAAAATTTAGCAAAAGACACCTCCCTATAGCTGTCAAATTTACTTTTGGGAATATTCCTCAAAAATTACTCTTCCGTTTTCTTTTCAGCTGCGTACCAGGCTTGACCCAGTACGCAGTTCAAAAGAAATCGGTAAAGGAAAGATCGATTACATTAGTATCGTGATCGACATGAAGGTGGCGCATTCTGAATGCAATTTCACTTTCCTTGCGGAATAATGGTCTGATCAATTATTCCGTTAGGTAATGTTGGCGTTTATTGCAAAACTGATGTTTTGGATGCATTTAAACAACATAAACACTAATAAGTGTTGATTTTACAATTTGACGACATCTCCCTATAATCTCAAAATTTAGCAGACTATAGCTGTCAAATTTTCTTTTGGGAAAAATCCTCAAAAATTACTTTTCCGTTTTCTTTTTAGCTGCGTACCAGGCTTCAAGCGGGAACGGTGACAAAGGCGGAAGTTCCATAGAGGTAACTCAAAAACTAGAAGGTCCCGAAATAACGTGCTCAACTTTTTGGCTCAGCTCTGGTACTCTCTTCGGTCCCAAGCTAATCGATTCACCCCTCGAAACATAGGAAAAACCAATAACCCCTCATTTTATCTGTCAAACATTCATACCGAATCAAAACAAACATTGCGTAGTACTAGAATTTTAACTAGAATGGGGTACGTTAATCGTTTGCTTGGGACCAATAGGCTAGTCAAGTAGTGAGCCAATTTAAAATCGTTAGTTTCGTATTGATTGTTGATAGTTCTTTCGCTGGCCATTTCGCAGGATCAGAAGTTTTTTTTTGAGGCCGATAAGAGGCTGTTCATAAACTACGTAGACATTTTTTTTTATTATTGACCCCCCTCCCCCTGCGTAGACAATTGTCCATACCAAATTTTTATAATTTGTATGGGCCGTGCATAATTGTCAACCCCCCCCCCCCCATTAAACTGTCTACGTAGTTCATGAACAGCCCCTAAGAGAAAGAGCTGGACATTCACACGCTGCGCTACTTCCGGGAAAAAATCGCAGCAAGTAGGTATGTAATTGTCTTCCCAGCACGGATAACTTGAGTGTGTCAAGTTGATCGGTAACGACCATTTCGTGTCCTGTGCACATGGGACTCATCGTTTCCTATCGGTTTGGAGTTCTGCACATAGTATTGTTTTGTGGGTCAGAACGGCGAATAATGGGGAGGCGAATTTCATAAGTGCTATCGCGTCAATTCTGAATACGGATGTGATCATATGACGGCGATAATACAAATAAAAGCACACAATTGGTTTGAATCATCTTAGTGTCTGCAACCAAAACCTGATTATATTTTTTTAATGAACTCTGCCTTAAATCTGTTAATTATTATTAGTATAATAATATTAAGTTTGAAAGAAATATTGAAATAATCGAAGAATTCACGCGTAACATCAGGAAATTAATGCAAATGCAAACACATCTTACATTGAATCTGTTAATTCAGGCACAAGCTAATATCATCGTCTGTCGAACTGTGCTGCGTGTTCAAACGGCCTTAAATTCAAACATTTTTTAATCGGGAGGAAATTTGCTCGAGGATTTGCTTGAATTTAAGGAAATGTAAAATTTGAAGACTTGTCGTCACAACTAAGTGATTCCCATTTCATTTGTACGGCAATCACGGTCCTCATTATGAGTATCACTTCCTTTTCACTGTATATTGTCGCTAGAGTTGTAAACCGATATAGCCCACTCGTGACAATCGATTTTATTCTAGTTCTGCATTAAAACGCATTATTCAACGAATACAGTGCACTAGATACGACATTATGTTGAACGTACAAAACAAGAGTGAAATCGATTGTCGCGAGTGGATTATTTCAGTTTCCAACTCTAGCATGGTGCTTCAAGAAATTTAGTAGAAGTATTCGCAGAATTGGTCATGTTTGTAGTCTAGTAAAACATTAATCATATATTATTTCGGGTATAAGAAGATTTTTTGAATAAATTGATTCATTCGAGTATGTGTTAAGGGTTTTCTTCAATTTTTTTAAGTAGTTCAAGAATAAGGATTTGGGTACGTTTTTAATTACATTTGTGTAACTTTAATTACATTAATTACAGAAAATACATTTTTAATTACATTAATTACGTAATCAAATTGAAGTACGTGTTTTAATTGCAGTAATTACACTGGCACTGCTTTGATTACGCGAAATTAAATTTAATAACATGAAATACCTAATTTTCATTTTTAATTACTTAATTACATAGTTGAACCAACAATCAATACGAAACTAACGATATTAAATTGGCTCACCACTTTAGTAGCCTATTGGTCCCAAGCAAACGATTAACGTACCCTATTCTAGTTGAAATTCTATTACTACACTATGTTTGTTTTGATTCGCTGTGAAAGTTTGACAGATAACATCAGGGGTGTGTGGATTCATGCAGAACATGCAGGGGTGAGTGACATAGCTTGGGACCGTTGTTCTGGTACTGAGTGAGCCAAAAATAATAATGATTTTCTTCGGGACCCAGTGGTCTTAGAGTTACCTCTATGGTTGAACACCTTGTACTTTAAATCCAACGCAGTCAAAAAGGCAATTACGTGCCCCTCGAGAATTTGTACAACAGGCAATCTATTTTCTTGTATTTTGACAGTCGACTGCGTCGCCCCCAATGAAATAAATTTTGCACAGTCGTGTCCGCGAGAGAAGAACACGTCACAAACAAAAAGAAGCCAGTAGTCTCATAGAGGTAACTCTAAGACAAGTAGGTCCCGAAGAAACGTGCTCAACTTTTTGGCTCACCTCTGGTACTATCTTCGGTCCCAAGCTTGTCGATTCACCCCTCAAAACATAGGTAAAACCAATAACCCCTCATTTTATCTGTCAAACTTTCATAGCTAATCAAAACAAACATTGCGTAGTACTAGAATTTCGACTAGAATAGGGTACGTTAATCGTTTGCTTGGGACCAATAGGCTACTAAAGTGGTGAGCCAATTTAAAATCGTTATACCACAGACAGACATACAAATTAGTACCGTTGTACTCCTTTAATCAAGTACCTCAAAACGTACAATTTGTGGTACTAGCTTAAAGCAGTACAACGGTAGTACAACAGTGAACTTTGTATGTCTGTACAAGGTATTAGTTTCGTATTGATTGTTGGTAGTCTCCTCTGCCTCCTAGGTTCACATCATCACCACGCATTTAGCAAGTTAACCTATATACGTTCTTCACTCACCTACACATACACATGCAGTTCCTTTTCTTCTAAACCTTCCCAACCACTGACCTTTGGCGCCGTTCTGTCACGGTATCTGTCATTCGAAATTCCAGAAGCACTTCCAGCACTTCTCACGTCTGTCGGTTTGTCTATCTGTATGCGCTGTATGCGTGTGGGTGCAGGCCCACAGCTCTATATGTACCTCCCGTCGTGTTGATCCGAAAATTGAAAACGAGTCCAGAGTAGATTTCTCCACCCTTAGCGGAAAAACTTCCCATTTCCCGTGCAAATTTTCACACAAAATCCAACCCAAACCGGGAGCAGAGGATTACCGCAGCCCGTTGGATTCCTGGAAGAGTGCGGGAATTTCGCCACGGATCGATTGAGGTGATATTTTCCGCGATTTTAAATCCGCATTAGATCCCCGTTCCTGTGAGCTCAACAAAGACTGATTCATTCATATTGCGAAGAAGCGAACCGAAAGTGCCAGAACGGGACGGATGCATACGGGGGAGTCTAAGCGGCCATAGGAGCGGGAGTAGGAAGGACGATAGAAAACGGAGATCCGAAAGAGGTGTCTTCTCCGGTAATAAGGCGTAAGGCAACTCTGTAACTTACATGGTGTATGTAGGTATACACATCGCGGAGGCAAAAAGGTCTGTTAGTACTGCAGTGTAAGGAAAGAAACGGACGAGTGAGAGAGGTCAAGGGAAAACAAAATTGCCCTCTTCTTCCGCTCTCGCCGTACTTACCTCGTCCGATGGGTGTTGTTTCATCGTCGATGTGAATGGTCACATATTATTGGGAAGGTGCTTTTCGGAAGTGTGCCAGTGTGTGTTGGTGCGAAATCAGTGAAAGCATCCTCATTAAAGGAATTATTTTCGAGATTCCAGCAGTACTGTTAAAAGTCTTTTTCGGTCTACGAGAATGTTGTAAATTTAACCATGACTAGCTGAGTGAGTTGCGAGATTTACGGGAAGAAAGCTGTAGCATGCAGTAGATAGTGAGTAGCTATCTGCTGCAGTTGAAGGCCTTTGTGATAGTCGATTTATCAGTATTCTAAAAAACAACAAAAGACATAATCAGAAAGAAGGAACCAGAGAGAGGCTATACTAGTATCGATTTTCCCAGCACACCAGGAATCATGTCCAATCACATCCATTCGCAAGCAGCTTCCGATGCAGCGTTGATAGCACGAATGCATCAGATGAGACTGGATGCCGATGGCTCCGGATCAGGCCAACCAAGGATGGTACCTCCCCCACAGTCGATGATGCTGGACGGTATGTCCAGAGGCGGTCAACAACATCTTACGCAAATGCAGATGGAGAGCCACTATGTCCCCGTGTCGACTGCAATCGGGCCCAGTAATGTTGTGATAATGAACGATCCCCGTATGTATCAAGGGCAGATGATGGCTGCGACAGCTGGTCGAATGCCTGGAGACATTGCGCATGTGGGATACTATCGAGTTAGCAATAGCCCCACCCATTCGCTCGGAGGTTCATCCCATCATTCCGGTGGCGGCAGTCCACGGGCCAGTGGACAACTGCAACAACCACCACAGTACTATGATCCTCGCTACCAAGCCGTATACGAGAATATAGACTACTACCCCCCTGCTCAACCACAACAGATAGACACTCTGATGTACGAGAGAAAATTTGAATCGAACAATGTCAAAGCTCAACCACAGGTCCCGGTCGGATCTGGGATGGCACATCTAGCGTCCAATGGAAGTGCTTGTCGCTATGCTCACACTCCTCAACCGCCAGAAATGCATGAACAACTTCCCATCTACGAGAACCTCCAAACGGCAACCGGTCAACAGGCACAACCTCAAGCAACCAAGGCTTCCGCACAAATCTACTACCATCGGAATGACACCAGCAGTCCACAGGTTCCTCACCATCCACAGTATCATGCAGCAGAGCTACCCATCTACGAATCGACTGTCGTTAATCCCAGTGCGAACTCCAGGTACGTTTCCGCAGGACAAGGACCACCCACCGGAACGTACCACCACTCACCGAGCAACAGTAATATTTCACTCAAAATGCCCCAACAACCACAGCCCGTTCACTTGCCCAATGTCAAATATCAAGCCACTGGTGTTCCGGTCGCTGCAGCTATTCCCAACGACTACCAAACTTCACCGAACCACGCCACAGCGCCCTCACTGGTAAGTGCCACACCTCGTAACACTTTCTCACTTCCTCATCATTCACGTAAACCCAATCTCCCACAGCCACCAAAATCAGCCGATGCCATCAAGTACCAACAGGGCAAAGCTAACTCCCCATCACGTAGCAGCTCTATATCGGGTTCCAGCTCGCTGAGCAAATCCTTCATCGAAGACATCAACGGTTCCGACTACGTCTGCATGACCGGCGGAAGCAAATACCAACACCAACAGCAGTATTCCACTTCCGGTCAAGCCCAGCAGCAGCAGCACTACTCCGTTAAGCCACCTACGACGACAGTATCCGGATCAATGGCTATCACACCACCCGGCACGAGTGCCGAGCGACAGCAAACCGGTAGACCTTCCCCCGGTCCTCCTCCGACAACCACGGCGGCACAAGGCAATAGCAAACCCAACAGTGCACAAAGTTCCTTCTCCGGACTACCGACGACGACGCAAAGTCGAGCCCCATCAGCGGTGTCACCGACACCGTCGCAGCTCAGCACCGGAAGCGGCTCTGGGAAACGTGAGTATCCTCCATGGCTCCAGTTGCGTCGAATTCGAAACGATTCTTCAATTGGCAAATCTTAATTCAAGGTCTGACAAAGAACCTACTGCCGTACAACGTAACACCACCGCGACCTACCGGACCGACCGAAGCGGAGCGGAAAATCGAGGAGCTTACTCGGCAGTTGGAGGAGGAGATGGAGAAGAACGAAGAGCAGGGAGAGTATTTCGGTGAGTACTGGGATTGAGTTCCATTAACATCAGAAAGAACGTGAACGATTACATAGTTGGAGATACTTAACGTCAACAGACTTAAAGTGAACATATATCAGGAAATGAAAGTGTGAAAATTGTATATTAGATAGTAGAAAGTGAGCAAAGGACAGTTTTGAGGAAGGTGCGAATCGGATCGAGGATTCCTTTTACCACCACACGTTGGTGAGGGGCGGTGATAGAAGCCTACCATCAATCATGCTGTCATTGGTCGAAAGGTAGAGCAGCAGAACCTCCCCTATCCATGTCTCCGTGAGATCGTTAAGTTGACGATGACGGGACGGGAGCACAGACAGTTTTTTTTTTTCTTGATTTGTTTTCCGTGCTGAGCACCAATGCTACCGACGCCAGGGAGGCAGTTCCCACACCTGGACCCTACCTATCGACCCATCAACTCATGAACCGGGGTCCAACGGCTTTACCAACAATCAATACGAAACTAACGATTTTAAATTGGCTCACTACTTGACTAGCCTATTGGTCCCAAGCAAACGATTAGCGTGCCCCATTCTAGTCGAAATTCTACTACTACACAATGTTTGTTTTGATTCGCTATGAATGTTTGACAGATAAAATGAGGGGTTAGTGGATTTTTCTATGTTTCGAGGGGTGAATCGATTAGCTTGGGACCGAAGAAAGTACCAGCAACAATCAATACGAAACTAACTATTTTAAATTGGCTCACTACTTGACTAGCCTATTGGTCCCAAGCAAACGATTAACGTACCCCATTCTAACCAAAAGTCTAGTACTACACAATGTTTGTTTTGATTCGCTATGAAAGTTTGACAGATAAAATGAGGGGTTAGTGGATTTTCCTATGTTTCAAGGGGTGCATCGATTAGCTTAGGACCGAAGATAGTACCAGAGCTGAGCCAAAAAGTTGAGCACGTTTCGTCGGGACCTTCTGGTCTTAGAGTTAGCTCAATATTCATATTATGCGTTCTTATGATTTTGAACTAAACTACCGTACCAATCAATCATAATTGGTTCATATCGAAATCATTGATATATTTGCCGTTTCTGCTCGATAAGACGGAAATGGGCGCTTATGCCGAAGTAGTTCTCTACCCTTATGATTTTCACAATTTGAAAACACATTCCCTTCGCCCATTTCCAGGCATCTGCCACACCTGCAAGGAGAAGGTAACCGGAGCAGGAGCGGCCTGTCAAGCCATGGGTAACCTGTATCACACCAACTGTTTCATCTGCTGTTCATGCGGACGCGCACTACGGGGAAAGGCCTTCTACAACGTGCATGGCCGAGTCTACTGCGAGGAGGACTACATGGTAATTCGGCACTGCCGTTCCCTATACTGCCCACAAAAACATAACAGTCACATCTTTGCTTGATTTCCTATTCTGTTGGGACTATCATGCGTTTATGGGAAGTATATCGGGCAACCTTCTAACCTACCCTTAATCTCCAAATCCAGTACTCCGGGTTCCAACAGACGGCGGAAAAGTGTGCAATCTGCGGGCATCTCATCATGGAAATGATCCTGCAGGCGATGGGAAAATCCTACCACCCGGGCTGTTTCCGGTGCTGCGTTTGCAACGAATGCCTCGACGGGGTACCGTTCACAGTGGACGTGGATAACAAGATCTACTGCGTCAACGATTATCACAGCATGTTTGCGCCAAAATGTGCCAGCTGTGGAAAAGGTACGTTTGCAATAATCTTCTGTATGGGTTTGATTATTTCTGGTTTTCCCTCAGGAATCACCCCGGTGGAAGGAACCGAGGAAACGGTTCGGGTAGTCGCCATGGACAAAGACTTCCACGTCGATTGCTACATCTGCGAGGAGTGCGGAATGCAGCTGACCGACGAACCGGACAAGCGATGCTATCCATACGAGGGCAGACTGATGTGTCGTTCGTGTCACATACAGAAAATTTCCCTGCAGGACATGCACGGCCGGATCGTGGAACCAGTTTGCGCCACGTATCAGTACATGGCATAAATAGCTAATTATCTAAACAAGCTAAGCTAACCGTAGTGGACAAACTATAGCATTTTAACCGCTGGCTGGAAACTTATCGAAAAACCGATGCGCAACAAATATTATCCCATTTACTGAAGGATGTGAGAATTGCATTTAAAATTTTAGGAAATTGAACTTGAAGAAGCTTAAGTGTGGTGAAAATTACTACGCACACTGCCAAACCGCTCTGTATGATAGATTATCGGTTACAGCAGAAAAGCTGCTCTTCAAAAGACATTCTAGTTTGTCTTCCAAACTCACTGAAAACTGAAAGTCAATATCCCTGTTCAAAGCTTCCCCGTTGATTTAACACCACTCTTACTACTCGTCGTCGTTATCATCAAAACTTTTAAGACGGAAATCTTTAAATAACTGTGAACTCTAGTGTGTGTGTGAAGTCATATTTCCATCACGTATTCAAACGCAAGGTAGTATTGTGCTTAAAACTTATTGATCCTCAAAACGCGCGTATTTATGCAAAGACAATTACCTACTATTGGAGCATGACAAATCGAAACATTCCATTCTTGTTGCTGTCAACCGATGACAAAAAAAACGCAAGCTACATTACAAATTAGGGGGCATACTTTTATTGGCAGCTTAATCCATTGTTGTAGATCATGCAAACGAATACAAATTATATGGTACATGACTATTATTATATTATCGATTATTATTATTATTATTATTATATGCTTTTTGCTAGGGCGTACTTTTTTTCAATTGTAGTTATTGAAATAAAAATAAAATTATTGGTAAAAATAGTTGACTATTGTTGTGCAGATCCCTTCTTTTACCGTCCAACACCAAGCAGGCGTAAGCAGGTTTTAAAAAGGGGGGGGGGGGCACAATTTCGAATGCCCAGTAGTATGTTTTGAAAACATTATTTTCTAATCCCAGAATCTTAAAATGCATTTCTTCCCTAAGCTTGGTGCATCGCATTCGTGGTCCGAAACGGCAATTTAGCATGAAAACAATATTTACTCCGTTTCTATTGATTTTATGGGGTAAGTATCTTCGTAGAAGTTGTTTAGATTAAATGGGCCTACTAAGATGGTTCTCATTTACGATACTTTAGTTCAAAAGCTACCGAACGAAGTCAATAAGAACGCGTGATATAAATGTTTGCACCCAATATTCTCATTTTCATTTTCATTTTCATTTTATGATGTACAAGGGGGTCAGGGGCCATGTCACCGATGTGAATATTCACACCATCCATAATACACCAGGGAAGGGGAGAGGAGTGAGCAACACAGCATCTTTACCCATGGGGGTTAAAAAAGTTCTGCGAGGTACACTTATGGTGAACCAGCGGCTCAGGGATTGTAGAAAGGAAAAGGGTTGGGTAGGTTTAAAATGCAGAATTAGATGCCGTCACGATTGAATGCGCATGTTTAAACAACGTTGATCCAGGTACCTATCATATAAATTTGCATATAATCTAGTTATGATCATTGTCAATAATACTTACATTTCGATAAAGATTACCCTGCCTACTTTACCTGTTATGTGATATTTATCATCACAGAGTCCAACCTTGAATCGCAGACCAGGTCCACTAACAAAACACTCGTTCCGAGAAGGGGCTTATGGTCTTCTTCTTCTTCTTCAGGTTCGCTCACCACCCGGAATGAAAACGAAAAAGAGATACAACCAGGATTAGTTTTTTAAAGTAATAGTTTCATCTGAATACCCAACTAACCATATCTCAGTGACATTGTCCCACTCTGAACCCACACCTAAAGCTATTTTGTGATTATATGGTTACATTGGTACTCACATGAAATGTTGTGCAAGTACCACAAGTTCAACAACGACCAACTATGGACAACTCAATGTTAATACCGTTTACTCTTTGAATCAGCTTACACCAACATGATAATCTACTAAAAAAATATAAGAATGTATAGAAATAACGTTCAAAAATACAGTTTTAACTGATGGTACTTTATAAACATCAAACTGTCCAATATTGGACCCTGCCAACACCTGCCAACAACGTTATCCTAACGTAAACTTAATATTATCGCACATATGCCCGTCCACGCCCGAAACCCATCCACCACACATCAAATAAAAATGTTTCTGTATGGCAAACACGTCCAGACGTAAACGAGAATATGGGTGTATATCTTCACTGTAGCAACTACGGGTAATCATCGAAAATACTTGCATTTTACTCAGGCACTTTTGAGCAAACTGCAATCCCTCTCTCATACTCGAAATGTGCCACGACCAAATTGGCACAACGACGCCCTATACGCTCTCTGACCAAAGCGCAGGGTAAATGTTTGCACCCAATATTCTCAAAAACAAATTAACAAACGCTCCGACCGAATCAATCGTTATTTTCATCCGATAGGCCGAAGTGAATTCTTTGGCGTTTCAATGCGTTAGGCCCAATTTAGAATCCGTAGGCCAAGTTTGGCGTCAATAAGCAGTGTTAGACTTTTAAAAATATCTCAACAATTTGTTTATCTCTAGAAAATCGTACGGAAAGCTACATAAATTTGGAAGCCATCAGTAATAATAACATTCCATTTGGTGCTAAACTACGCTAGATTAAGAAAGACTAAGTACGGGTAGTGCTTAATAGGCCGAAAATGGGGTAGTTAACTCTAGTTACATTCTGAAGCAAAATAGTAGGATAAATTATTTCAGGCAACTTTGCTGAGAATTCCATTTGCCTAGCTCTTCATATGTCTACCTAGCTATTTTGTTGCTTAAAATTAGGTTGCCCCTAAAAATATCAGTATTGATATGTTCTTTGACTATATGTTTAGTATTACTTCTGCGTGAAGTCAACGATTTACATAGTTGAAGATGCTATTTCGAATAACAGACTGAAGTGGTATCTTTTTTATCTTCAACTATGTAAATCGTTGACTTCACGCAGAATTAATACTAAACATATAGTCAAAGTACATAACTCTGGATGGGAGCATACCATCAATCAGGTAGGTACAGTCGACGATGACAGGAGCACATATCGTGGTAGGGGTAAACAATAGCTGCAATTTCCAAACCTACGACTGGATGCCTTCCTTCGAATAACAACTGAAGTGCGGTAAAAATCGGTAGAACTGTTTCAAACACATCGTTGGTACTTGAGCGGTCGGCGATCATCTCTTTTTGCGGGGGACACACCCCCCACACTCCACTCCACACCCACACAGTGGTGGCGGGGGGGACACCCCTCACCATCCATCTCCAAAGGGGAAGTTTGGTGAAGAGAGAGATGATAAAACCGATTTGTACCTTCCTTAAAAGTTGTCCTAGCTCGCTATCTACTTTCTATATGCACACTAGACTGATGCAAAATTTGACTTTTTCGCTCCACAGTGCTTAGTGCAGTGGTTTCAAATCGGGTCCTGATTAGCCTCTCAAAGTTACAACTCATTTGGTTAGAAACAGACTTCGCACAAGCCATTTGAAGTTTACATGTAAATTACTATGGAAAATCTCAACTTTTTGTTCATTGCCTTTTAGTCTTTTCCATATTGAGCTGCGAAACAGTTCAATAGCCATTCTTATAGAAAACCGTTTCTATGGAAAACGAGGCAGGAAAAAATATTAATTATTTAAGAGATTGGTAAACTTATGACATGATCAAGCAGCTGCTCTGTAGGCAACACTGTATTTTGCAGAGTGGCATAGTAGCCATGATTTTCGTGTCCTATTCAACACCCCAGAAACACCAATGTTGCCTGCTGAGCAGTTGATTGAGCATGATCATAAGGCATCATCGCATTGAACCATTGATAACTTTCGATCCCTGCATTTAATCAAAAAATGGTCTTGAGCAAAGTTGTAGCTGGGAAATTTTCCTACAAGTACAGTTGAAAGTTTTTGAAGCAGACCGATATGGTGAATTATTAGATAGCCATGAACAAAAATCTTGGTTTTACCATAATAATTCCCATACAAACTTCAAATGGTTTGTGCCATCTCAGTTTCTCACCAAATGGGTTCAAATTTTGAGAGGTTAGTCAGAATCCGATTTGGAATCGTTTAAGTATTGTGGAGCGAAAATTTCAAATTTTGCATCACTCTAATGCACACAAACTATCAATTCTATACTTTCATCTCCTCAGCCGGCGCCGCACGCTATGTCTGAGGGCACTTTTTTTGCAACTTTCATGTACCTCAGTTTTTTCATCACAGGAAGTTAGAATGGATCTTAACAATCAAATCAGTGATGGTTTGAAAATATTTCATCTTGGGTTTTTTTAGCAAAAGTATTTTGAAGTATACTTAGTGGTTTATCAAGGCGTGTATGGACTATAGACGATACTAAACTGTTACGGATCGAAACAAATACAGCTGAATATGATTGTTGGAGATTAAAGTAGTAAAAATACTTCGTTTCAGTGGTACAGTAAGATTTCCTCTTCGGTAATAGATTTTTGCAGGTAGGTCACTCAGGACTTTTATCATCCTATGCACACAAAACACCAACATTTCACACACCCGCCTCTTCCCGCGGGTCATCCTCAATCCGATTTATCCTTGCGATTTCAAACCAAAACATTCAAGGCGTCAAAATACCGGGTTACCGGTACAATCGGCACACCTGCGGCACACTGACAAAAATGATGACCCAAGATTGCTGTGACCTACCCCTTGCATGATTTACACATTTTTATGAATTTGTTTTTCTTTTATTTTGTGCTTTTTTCTTATAAATATCCACACATTCGCACAATTCGACAGTCAACATGGTTTGAACAACAAGACAACATCTTTTACTGGATATTTGTGAACCTCAATTTTCATAAACTGATCAATTTGTTTATTCAGGTTAACGGCAATGTAACATGCGTGAGCCGCACTCAGGATATTTTGTAGGTGGCGAACTCTCATTTTTACGCCCTTCCACACTGGGGGGAGGTGACTGTCAAATACGAACAATCATCGCCTACCTCGCATAACTGGTTCCAAACGACAACAAAGTCATAAGCAACGATGGATTGTTGATATTTGGAACCAAATTCTCATATGGCAAATCCATGAGCAGGTGAGGCCCAGTAAATTTGTCGTCTCTTTCGTTCTCCGGCTGATTAAATGGATGAAGTTAGTTTGACGTCACACTCCTTCAACCGTTTAAACAGCGGGAGAACGAAAGAG